AAGTCCAGCGCCGTCGCCATCGCGAAGTCCAGCGCCGCCGCCATCGCGAAGTCCACCGCCGCCGCTGCTGGAGACAGACTTTTACTCTCCGTAGGTCGGATTTTGCTCCTCTGATTGTTCTCCCCCTCTTCGTTAGATTTCTCTTCCCCATGCTCTGTTTCTTCTTGGCTTGTTACAAAATGCCATTAAAATGGCATTTTTAGTCTTCAAAAATGTTGTATTTACCTTTGAAAATGCCATTAAGATGGCATTCAGGTAAAAAACTTGGCATTCATGCTGGCAACGGCCAGATCTACAACAGAGGGGGTCATATTAGCAGCGGTAGATGCCGGATTAGCAAGGATGGTGGCTGGATCTATAAGGGTTGCGGTCGGCGGCCGACGGAGAATAGATTTGGCCAGATCTCCAGCGACGCCCGCCAGATCTCCAACGGCGGCGGCCAGATCTCCAACGGCGGCAGCCAGATCTCCAACGGCGAATATTTTTTGACGCGACGGCGATGTGCGGCGGCCGGTGGCGACCGGCGGCAACTGGCGGTGACCGGCGAATGGCGGTGGTCCGGTCTTCTGGTCGGTGGTTGTATGACTTCCAAGCATTAAGGGTGTTTTTGTCTAATTATAAACAATAACTCCTATTTAAGGAATTTTTATACTTTAGTCCTATTTTGGCAATTAAAGATTGATTTACTCCTATTTAGATAAATATCCCATCTCTTTAACTCACTAAAGAAACTACCAACAAGCCCTAACCAATTCCCAAAAAACAGCTCCCTCAAAACACAGTTTCGGCAGCCTGGGATTTCTCCAGTTCAAACCCAAAAAATTGTATTGTCCAAATCTCACAGTGTGTTTATCAAAAGTCAAGTCTTCCGTTGGTGATTCTAAAGCCTACCAAAAGGTTTAAGAATCAAACTCATAAAGAGGGATATGACTCTAAAGCGAAAAGTTTTAAAAGTCTATTCACCCCCCCTTCCCTCTAAACTTTTACTCGGGACCATCATATAGATTTAACACAAATTGAAGTTCAGCTAAGAGAGTTTGTAGTTGTAGTTTACTAGAGTTTATCTCAAATTATTGTTTTGTGATTTATGTTTTGTACTACAACAGTTTATCTAAAAATTATTAATTATATAATATGAAAATTGATAAATTGTGTGAATTTTTGGAGGTGGTTTTGAACTTTAATTTTCCGGAAAAGGTGACATTGTTTGATACTGGTATGACATGGTACCGCCCCGTTTGGAAACGGAACCGTACCGAACGGGTTTATGTGTAAGACCTAAATGAACTGAATTGTTTCAATAGTTACGGTACGGGTACGAGTTCAGAATAATATTGGACCGGACCGAATCGTACCCACCCCTAGTGTCGCCTTTAAATCGGACTGAATCACTAACTCAACAAAATCAAACCGCACAAAAAAGTAATAAAACCTTAATACAAAGTCTATTTTTAGGAAATAAAACCAAATCAAATCGAGCCATAACGAACATAACAATACTATATATATATTTTTTAAAAGTCATTCTTCCAAACTATTTCAAATCGAATCGAACTATTAAAAATCAAAACTACATAAATCTCACCCATCCCAAGACTACTCCCGTACAAACACGCTTAACTTTGGAGCTCTTAGCTGATGAGCTCCTTTAAAAGGAGGTGCACCTTGTTGGTATGAGTAGTACTATTAATTCTTTTCAATTAATCTCGGGTATTACACGCCCTCCTGCCAAATCACCGCCTCACCCTGAAAGAAAATCAGCGATCGTTGGATATCCCTTTTGGTGGCTAGTCAAATCGATGGCTCAGTCAATTTCTGCTAGGTTAAAGTGATAGTTCACTGATAAATCGCTAGTGGTATTGTAGAGAGAATGGATAGCTAATAGTAGAGATATAAAGTAATATGATATTACATGGGTTTCGAACCCTTTATACCTACCCCAAGGGAAGTATTTATACTAGTGGTACCATAAGCTATTCTATGGGCGAGAGCGTTGTGACGTTGAAGAGAGCGACACATGCCAGTTTTTAACCGACTTCTAAGAGGATGTCCTCTGTTGGTCGAGGTGAGGCATGTGCCCCTCGTTCATGATGTTTTCCTTATCAATGATTGGTTCCGTATGAGACACTCGGGAGACCCTGAACAAGGTGCCACTAGTTGAGGCAACTTAGTACGAATAGCGGTCTTGGTTTGATTTTCTAGACGATTGTGGTTGACATTATCTGCTCTTTTCTTGCGTGCATCCTCATGCAGTCGTTTGGGGACCATATGAGGGATGTAGGCCGAATGAATTTGGTTCTCTATATATCCAAGAGTATGTGAGTTATGGGTTTGAACCCTAGACGAGAACAAACCAAACTAGATTTAATTAGATTAAACGATAGCATACTTTAATAGATTATATCTCACCAGTTATAAAATACATATTAATCAGTCATTTTAAATTAGACTATGACGTGCACTTTTGTCGTGATGTGCACTCAAAATAATTATCAATACAACAATTATAGGTAGTATATTGAAGTAAGGTTCATGTCCACGGGGAAAGGAATACTTCTCTTTTTATGTAACTAGTAACAAGAGGGGTTTAAAGTTTAATTTGATTCAATTAATTACATACGAAGATGAACGACTTATATGAGTTTAATTAATAGAGATGAGGACTTGGTTTTGCTTTTATCCACTTAATGAGATGTTCGTTGATCCCGGTTATATCCTTAACTATCTTCCTCTCGAATACTCAATCGAGTAGTATATCCAATTCATCGAGGGTAGTTATTAATAACGAGACGCGTTCATTAATAAAACTTACTACCGAGTCCATATAGAACACGCGCCGTATATTAACCCGATAGTAGCAATAAACTTAAGATGAAAACGATTGAGATTGATAACCTCAACACAAGTGGTTTATTGGTTTAATCAATATAATTAATTTCCCTTAGATTATTAACCATGAGACACGTGCATTAATAATCCAAGTTTACTACCGTGAAACGACCGAACGATTAACAAGCGTATCCGTCGATCGATTCTAGTATTAATTAATATATGAAACAAAACTAGTTGATCCTTTAAGTAATACTCAAAATATTAATATGAAATATGAATAGGAATTAATTAATATTCAAGGAAGAATATTAAAGAAGATAAATCCTACTATAACTAATGTCAAAATGTTAACTAATTGTCATCTTAGCAACACTCCCCAACAATAATATAGAGGAAGAAAATAAATACTACTATAACTAATGTCGAGATGTTAACTAATTGTCATCTTAGCACCACTCCACAACATTAATATAGAGATAATATTAAGGGAAAAATTAATATTCAAGGAAGAAGATTAAAGAAAATAACTCACAACTTACAATTCATTAAGCTTCAAAGTAGCAAAACCAAGATGGAAGAGTTTAGCTCCTCATTTGGAGACTAAACATGATAGAAAATATAAAGAAAACGCTAATCTAAACTGAGCTAAAGAGTATATGTGAATTGATATCAAAATGGGAAGGAAAAGAGGTGTATTTATAGGTATTTTGAGGTGGCTGGCTCTGATACCCGACCGGGTATGTAGAATACCCGATCGGGTATCCTTAATTGCTCGGAAGATGCCGCAATCACATTCAACCCGACCGGGTTGGGTCAAAACCCGACCGGGTTACGTATCAAATCGGATATTTTCCACGTTTTCTTGATCTTGGACACGTTCTTTTGTTCTTGTCAACTCAACCCGACCGGGTTTTATACCAACCCGACCGGGTTTCGGCGAGTAACATTCTTTTGGCTTCATATGTCACTTCCAACCCGATCGGGTTATGTTCCAACCCGACCTGGTTTGCTACCAGAAATCATATCCACCCTTCATCTTGTCTTCCTTCGGTGCCTATAATACTCCCTTGTATCCCTTATGGTACTTACAACAAAATAGACGCTAAAAATACAAATTAAAACCTACAAAATAAATCTATAGAGTACATCACAAACTAAACTAAACAATTAAAAACAACAATCAAATAATACTAAAATAACAAACTTATGCACTAGGAAATAGTGCATATCAGACTAGACAAGACAAGACATTGATGAGATCACATATATTTAAATCAAGGCTAGAGGGTCAAATAGGCCCTTGAACTGACTTAAAGTGTTCAATTAGCCCCTTATATAAGAGGTTCTGCTCGGCCGTCGCTAATTGGACCGGTTCCCGATGGAATTTTTTAATGAAATTTTTTGAGCATCTTCTTCGTTAAGTCTAGTTTAACCATACCAAATTTTAGCTAAAAATTCAACCGGTAAGGCAGCCAAATGATTTTCCGAAATGTACTGCGCTGTTTAAATACGGAGTATGTCCTAAAGTCAAATTAGATTAGACAAGACTTAAATAAATCAATTAAACCACAAAATTTGAATATAATTAAGGTAGATTCTATGGTACCCATAAGATACCATACATTTGACCACATGGACCAATGAGAATGTACCAGTTGAATTATTTAAATCTAAATTAAAAATGATAAAATGATATGTTCCAATCAAATAAATGATAGATACGATACCCCATATTTTAGAAAGATACAAGAGTTTTTAAATAACTAGTATGTCCTAAAATGACCAGAATTGAATTGAAATCAATTTTGAAGAACTTAGAGCATCTCCAATGGGAGGGTGCATTGCATCTGATGTGGCATAGGAGAGAGATAGAGATAGAATAAATATTGGGATGAAGTGGTGTGTAGGGAAAAATGAAAAAGAGGAGAGAGATAGAGGTAAAAATGGACCAAGGTCTATGACAAGGTCCATATATGCCTTACACGGGATTCGAGGAGGAAAAGTTGATGAAAAGTGGGTTAAAAGTGATATAAAAAAATGAAAATAAAAATAAATTGGGAAATATGTGGGTCCTACACATAAAATTTGTGAGATAAAAAATGGGACCCATGTGTAAGGGTGTGTAAGAGACCACACCCTTGCTTGCATTGGAGATGCTCTTAGGAAGTGTTTTCGCTTGTTCGAATGAACATGTTTATCAACATGCTGACCACAGGTAATAAGTGAGATAAGAGAGAATGTAAACAGTGATCCTCCAGCACCTCTGCGATCAGCTTTCGTTCAAATCACAACCTGCATACTCTCAACACCTTACTGGAATCGAAATTCGGCTCCCTTTGTAGTTGGATTTGGAGTAAATGTTTTGAATTTCCTCGAATATCGACGGATGAGGATGCTAAAAAATGAGGAGTTGCGCACACCATCTTAATGAGCACTTCAACAATCTCCTGCCCAAATCCTGTCTCTCTGAAGCGACCCACATTGGCCACCCAATTTTTTCTGGGCGGGTCGACTGCCGGGTTGACCGGGTGTAGGAGCTGGAAGAGAAGTTTCCAGAAGCTGATTCCTCAGGTCAAGAAAAGGAAGGATTGGCAGAGGAGTTGGTGGAAGAGTTTCTTTGACGAGAAAGGGAACTGGTTCGGGTTGAAGGATGATTATATGCCGGACGAGGTTGAATTTGAGGAGAGCTTGACTGTGGGTGATGACTTGGAGTTGTCGGAGAAGGAGAAGTTTGAAGCGTGGAAACAACGAGCGGAGGCTATTGTAGAGTTGAGGGAAGCCCAGGAGGATATTAGAAATGAGGAGAACAGGAGTTGGGAGGACTGGCTTGTGGACCCCACTACTGCTACTACTACTATTGATTCTAATAGAGGTTCTTCCTGGGAACAGAATTCCAATGGCTCCATTGGGAATTATAGAGAGGGTTCTATGGGGGATGATGACCCCAGTGAGGTAATTCCTCTTAAGAAGGTGGCTGAATCCGTCAGGGCTATGGTGTTTGGCGGGGATGATGATGATATTCTTTATGAAGATCGTGTTATACAGTATGCTTCCATCAATTCGGTAATTGCATTTTCCAGTTTTGTTCTTGTCCTTAACCATTTGATTATCTTTTTCTATTATTATTACTAGTACTAGTACTAGTATGATTATCCTTATAATCATTATTATTATTATTATTATTGTTATCATTATGAATATTTTAGTCAACATAGAATGTTCGGTATTATAGGACTACCCACCCTAATGAACCGTGGATAATATGCTTTATGAATTGAATATTCAAATAAAAATCTGGATGTTACTCAGATTTTAAGTACTAGCGAAAGACAACAAGCATGACGTAAATATAGGGATTCTACTGCAATATAGTTATCCACATTTGTAAGAACCGAGACCATCTTGAAATGTAAGAAAGCATGTTAAAGAGGAATGTTAAAACTTAAAAGAATCTCTCTTTATATTTAGGATAGTAGCGAACTAGCGATGAGATAACATTAGATATGCTATGGCGTATATTACTACAAATTGCAAAGCTAGAAGAATTTGGGATATATGAGTGTCTATAGGTTAGTTTTTATGTAAATACAACTCATCAGATTGCAAATAAAGACTTATTTCATATGTTCTAAAATGCTCTTCCCACTTTCCTATTTTGGCCATTTCAATAAGGTTTTCTCATTTCCTAATAAGGAAAAAATTGCATGGTTTTTATGGATTCTCCATTTCTAAATAAACATGATTCACAGAATTTCACTATCTGTATCAATCAAATGGGAGGAATACTATGGGCAGAGGGAGTAGTTCATAATATGCTCCTTGAATGGCCTCTCAGATTTTCCACTTGTTGTAGCTTCATTCCCAATGACAAAGAATTGTGTTGATTTGCCATAACTTTGTAAATTATAATATTGACATTTCTCTGCCGAACAAGATTCTGAGTCCTGTACTGCATAGAGCGTGGTAGTTTATTTTCTTCAACTGTTTTTTTTTCTAGGATGTTTTGGGAAACATAAAGCATGGTTCCTCATTAAAATCTAAAACAATGTGTTATATGTACTTTTTGTTTGTTTCAGGCTAAGTTTTTGGCGGTGTTGATTATAGTTCCATGGAGCATGGATTTTTTAGTTCACGACTATGTGCTAATGCCTTTTCTGGACAGGTAGGTAATCATTTTCTTCTTCCTCATTTTTCCTGCAAAGCGGTATACATGTGCTTTAGACTTGAACCTCTGAAAAATTATGCTGATCTTGTCCACTCACCTTTATGCTAATTTTCCTCAAACTATTTTGCATAAATTTTCATTGAAAAAACCAATACATAGCTCTATGAAAACAATGAACAGTACAGATAGAAACTAGGAGGCAGAGATGGGAAATTGCTCATTACACTTGAATTTCTTTCTAATTTCTTCTGAGAATTATTTACATGTTCTTTAATGAACTAATTATTGGTTTATATATTACTAAGGTTAACCAACTCTTTGAATACTTATTGCTCAATGTTATCGATATTGGAGTTTATATTTGGTGAACTGATTCTCATCTCATGTATTGGGGCAAGGTATGTGAAGACTGTACCACTGGCAGCAGAGATGCTTGATGTGAGGGCATCCCAGAAGCGCGAATTGGTTAAGGAACTAAAACTTGAAAAAGCTCGTTACCGTTTTGAGGTTGAGATTGGCAAATCCCCATCTCTTTCGGACAAGGACCTTTATACGGGGCTTCGGGAAAAAGTGTAAGTTTTGTGCAATGATTCTCATTTATAATACCCCCTTTGTCCCTAAATCATCCAAATGAATTTCTTTCTCTGTTTCAAAAGTATCACCTTTTCCTTTTTAGGTAAACAAAACGTGTGTTCACGATATTTCTCTCTCTTCTAAATGAATTTCAATTCTCAACTACACAGTTTTTGATTTTCTTAAATTCCTTGTCGGTCAAAGCAGGCAATATTTTTGGGATGGACAGAAAAGAAATTCATTTGGAGCAAAGACATATGCCTTTCAGATATCTGTGACTTCCAATAGAATTCAAAATTGGGATTATGTCACTCAATTGGACAGTATTGCACTTGGGCCGGATCTCACTAAAAGATCGAACTTAGTTGATTAGTTAGTCTAACCAAAGAGCATATGAACTTGCATGTATGTAATAATCTTAATGGTTTCATTGGATGCCAATGTTTTAACATCTTGACGGTTATTGTAGGATAGAGATGCGGGATGAACGGAGGTTAGAGAATCGTCGTGAATTTGCTAATATATGGTCAGATGCTGTATTTGGGATCTCATTATTAATTCTTTTGAGCTTCAATCAGAGTAAAGTGAGCTTCCATTCTGTTCTTTCTAATTTTTTCCTGTAATTATTTTTCATTTATATAATCCTGCCTCCGTCCTACTAAAATTTGGACTTGAGGAGGTGCGGTTATTAAGAAAAGTGAGTTTATTTGGTTATTGAATTGGTAAATTAGGAATAATGTAAGATTTAGAACCACACAAATGTTATGGGACAAACTTAGTGTGCAGTCGAAAAAAGGAAAGATGAGACAAAGATAGTGGGACAGAGGGAGTAGTAATCCTTCTACCCCAAATTAAATGTCGTTTTATCCAACTTTTTATGTCCTTATGTTCAGTGGTATGTATGTATGTTTCTTTATTGCAGTTTAAAAAGTATAGATATCTGATATCTCCTTATTTTTTTAGGTATTATACCAATCTCCGAAACTCCCACATTTTTGTCTAATTACCGTTACGCTGTATAATATTGGAAACATTAAATTGTATCATAATCGATAATTAGTACGCTATGTATTACTCCGTTAATCCCAAAGTAATTGTTATTTTTAGAAAAAAATGCTTACATATCAAGCGACCTTACACAATGACCCTTATACCCATATATGAGTTTAATGTTAAATGATCGTTATTGTTTTTTGAGCTATAAATGCACTAAATCTAGGAAGAACCATTTAATGTAGGTAGAGCTGATATGGGCAAATAAGGAAGACAAGTATAAATATGCACTGGATTCCTAAACTAACAATTTTTTTGGAACATATTTTTTGCTACAACGACAATTAATTTGGGACAGAAAGAATAGTCTTCTTATTCTTGAATTTTCTCTATTCTGCTTCTTATTCTTTAGACATAGTAATAAAATATATTCCGATAAAATCATAAAAACGCGACAAACTAGCTCACATGCTCTTGCTATGGATCTGGAAAAAAACTATGTTGTTGTACATTTTGGCTTTCAATGAAATGTCATATCAGGTAGAGACAATGGCAGGGACAGAAATGTTGTATTGTGGGGGGGGGGCTTCATATATTAACATATCATTTTATAGTAAAAATATCTGTAGATCTGGAAAACATTACTACATATTTTATAGATATTACTTTTCTAGTACTATCTGTGGCTTATTTGTGCATTTCCTGTAGGATATATAGAATGGAATAGGATAAATTCACATTCTGAAATGAAATACCATTTCTTTCTCTAGACACATTGTTTTTCTGTTTGGCATGTGTTTTGTAGGTGGCTTTGCTCAAATTCACTGGTTACAAAATAATAAATAATACCCCGGACGTTGGGAAGGCATTTAGTATTATTCTCCTCGCCGATATATTCTTAGGGTAAATATTTATTTGGTATTTTTTTTTCATTGATGAATTTATATTGTAGTCCATAACTGCTAAGTTATTACTTATTAATTACAACAACAACAACATCTAAGCCTTATTCCCAAAAGATTTTGGGGTTGGCTAACATGAATTGATCCATGATATCAAAGCCAGTACGAAGAGAGATAAGACATTGAGATACCTGAAATACCTCTTCTAATCGGGTTAACCTTCTGTGGTGGAACTTCAAATCTTATTATGAAGTATTGGAATCGGGCTCTTGATCAGGTCTAGTCTAGTACTTGTTGCTGTCCAATCCATACTAATCTGATTGAATAAATGGTGCTCAGGAAAGAAAAATATATTCCACATTGTCATCCTTTTACTGCAATAATGAAATATAAATGGATTCCGGCTTAAATTATGAGTTCTTTTGGAACAGTTAAGTGCTACTAGGGAAATAAAACAAAGAGGGAAATATAGGATAATTTGGGAAAATGCAAGGAAAAATAAATTATTGGCTCAAAGCCTCAAACTAGTTTTATTTATCCATTTTTGTTCTTTAAAACTAAGAAATCTCAACATATGCAAACCTTATAAACCATTAATCATATTTCATTTTCATTTCATTTTTCAAGTAAAATAAAAAACAAGGAAATGACTTCCCTTAGCATTTCTTTTCCCTGTCATTTTCTGAGATCCAAACATACCCCTATTGGTTTCATGTACTGAAAATTTTCAGGTATCATTCATCATCTGGTTGGGAGACTTTGTTAGAGGCTATCGCGGAACATTATGGGCTTGATGTTGATAAGGACGCCATAACCATATTTGTTTGCATTGTTCCAGTTGCAGTGGATGCATACTTCAAAATTTGGGTATGTTATACACATCTTCGACTTTTTTTGGACTTCGAAATTTACATTTAGCACTCTCACAGTCTCACATCTGTATAAAGCTATACTTCTAGAACTGTCTCTAGGTTCACGGCCAGGACTTTTACTTTTTCTCAGTAGTTCCATTGAAGGCCAACTAAAAGATTGCATTCTAGTATCTGTCGCACACTCACACTTCTTTTGGTGTTTGTATAGCTTGTTTGCCTAGTAGTTAAGTTGTGAAACTGATGCATAGAAATGGGAAAATTTTAAGAAACATGAAGCTGAAGAAGTAAATTTATAATAAGGGAAAATTACTACTACCCCTTAAGGTCACTAGATTTACTGTTGAGTCATAATACTAGTCCAACCTTGTATTTTTGAAAGTCAATTAGTCACCTCGTATTTTGACTATTTTCACTGTTTACCCCTACCACAGCAAATATCTAATTTAAATTTCTATAATAGTCAAATTTGACTTAGGTTGTCTAAAGTATCTGATATTAAATGTTAAAACAATTCATCATCATGATCATAATTCATAGTTGTTGTTCGTTATTGCATCTTCTATTCTTCTTTGCTACTCATGGAAGAATTGTTATTGAGAATAGCTGAGGCAACATTTTTTAGATTTGAAGTTTAAAGTAAAAAACACGCAATAGATTTTATTGACAAAGAAGATTATCAAGAATATGCACTCTTAAAAGCCAAAACACTTGTCTTCATTAATATACGCCATGCCGGTCGCTTATATAATTCCTACGCCTCAACTACTCTGGCATTTCTTTTGCAAATTGAAAAGAAGAAATAATGAGTAGCAAGTATGACTTACTTATAGGTATAATAATGCAATGTCTTAAGTTTTTATGAACAGATATGTTTTACATACCCTTCATTATAGTTGACACATATTCAAAGTTAAATGAGATAAATATTGATGAGAGGGTAAACAGTGAGAATAGTCAAAACACGAGAGAAGAGTGATTAACTTTTAAAAACACAAGGTTGAACTAGTAATCATGAGCTATCATGAACTATAATGGTGAATTTCCCTTACAATAAAAATGGAGTTTATTATATTACGCATTCACAAGTGAATGATCATTTGTCTATTGGCAAATGGTCTTTTAATATAATTTTGGCGATTTACTTTAAAAAAGATCATGCATTCACACATAAAACATGCACATTAAAAACAATAATAGTACATCATTTAGTGGTTCTCAATTGCATACGTCACAAGTGCTTCCATAATCTATTTATTTGTCTAAATCTGCTTCCTAACGTTTGGAAATTACGAAAACATCCCAAAATCTCCAAATTTATGAAAATGCCCCGAAATGTACCAGACATCGCAAAAAAGTACGACAATGTTTCATTGAAGTTTTTGAGAGTTCTGGTTTCCAGAGAGGAAGTGCTCTAGGGCTCCTCGAAGTTTCCTTCTTGTGATGAAAAAATCTATTTACCAAGGAACATTATTTTCTTAAATTTGGATCTTTTTCAGTAAATGCAAAGAAAAGTGAAGTACGATTTTTATATGCACATGTTAAGATTTTATTATTATTTATGCAATACAAATAGACAAATGAAAGTGAATTCATATGAAAATTTAAACCTGAATTTATTGAGTTCGAACCAAAGTTTTAATTTCCTGAAAGTTATCTTTCCTTTCAAAATTTTGCTATTACTCCTCCCTGTTTTCTTTCCCTCACATTTCCCGTGTTTCAAACGGACCGTTATGATTGAGTTGCAGCTAAAGAATGGGAATCTTTGTTGTTAGTGCATATTGATTCATTAATCTGATTCAGAACTTGATTACTTCACTCAAACCTCTTTTCTTTGCAATATAAACTTGCATTGCATGTTTAAACGTATCATTTCACGGCTACATTTGGTCTTTCTTTCAGCTCTATAAGTTCCTACCAAGGCTATCCCCAAAGGTGGCAACTCTTTTGCGGGAAGTGAAGAGGCATTAGAAAGAGTTTTATTTTCTTCTCCAGCAGCACCTGTATAAATTTGGAAGAGGCATTATTCTCTGCCATTTTCTTTCCTCTTGTTTTCTTTCCTTGTATGGATGTGTGGCCTAGGTTTGAGCAATCGAATTGTCTTAGATAGATTCATTATCATCATACAAAACAGCCATAGCCTGCCTGTCCAAGGATGTCTGCATTCAGCCATTCAGGCAATTTTGTGTGTATTATCAACTTTAAATTTCCACTAAATATATGTTTTCTGTTGTTTTCGCCAAATTGATTGGGGGTTATAAGTGATGAAATGGTTTAGTATTTTTTGTTGAAATTGAAATAAATGGCAAAATTATCGAGTTCATCGTGTAGATATCTTTTCTCCGCATTATTGTTGAAAGTTGAATTACACAATCAGCCAATGATCAATTCAATCACATGTAGAAATTAGCAATCATTCAAGAAGAATCTTGGTGGCACCGGTGTCCGGTATGCCTGGACTCGGGCCGGTTCGGGCCCGGTTTGGGCCTGGGCCCGGCCGGGCCTCGGGCCAGGAAAGGGAGGCCCGAGCCCGAACCGCCGGTGGCCGGTTCCGGGCCAAACCGGGCCGGGCCGGGCCGGGCCGAACCGGCCCAATAATTTTTTTTTTTGTTCTCTTATTTAATCCCCTACCCCTCCCCCTCAACCCCAAACCATCCCAAACCACCTCAAATGGCCCAAAATACCTAATCCAACCTAAAACTTAAAAAAATTTCAAAAAAAAAAAAAATAAAATAAAATCCGGCCCGGACCGGGCCCGAACCGGCCGGGCCGGTTCACCAAAACCTGGGCCCGGGCCCGAACCGCCCAGCAGCCGGGCCGGGCCGAACCGAACCGAGGGACCCACCGGGCCCCGGGCCGGGCCGGGCCAAACAGTAACCGGGCCGGGCCGCCCGGCCCGAGTCCAGCACTAGTGTCCGGTGTGCATGGCCTGCACGAACACATCAGGCAAAATTCATAAGAGTAATTCCTATTTTGAGGAATTTTACAATAATAATTCCAGAGTGTTCATAAAAGTATTGTCCACAAGAATAAATATTGTCCACAGAAACCTGTTTAATCTCAAATGATGCATTATATTTTCTATTTGCTTGTTCCGTGATAGTAAAAGAGAACATCCTTCTATATTTTTTCTTTTTTCTCTTTGCTTGTTTCGTGATAGAAAGAGAATATCCCTTCTCTTTCCATCAAATAAAACCTCGCCATTATCACCTGAAACGGGTTTAGCAACTGCACAATAAAACATTGCAAGTGATCAGTCTTCCATATTGACATGTCATTAGTCTTGGACTCGGGCCGGGTGGCCCGACCCGGGACCGGTACTGTGCTGAACCGGCCTGGCTCGGTGGCCTAGCCAGTGACCGGTCCGGGTAGGCCCGGCCCGGGGGGTTCCTGGTGCAGGCCCGGCCCGGGGGTTTCCCGGTTCCGGGCTTTTTATTTTTTATTTTCAATTTTTTTTATCTTTTCGGGTTGGACTGGGTATTTTGGGCCATTTGGGGTGGTTTGGGGGGTTGGGGGTGGGGGGGTTAATTAGGAAAAGAAAAAAAAAAATTGACCCGAGACCCGGCCCGGACCTGGTGGCTACCCGGGCCTCCTTCAAAAAACCCGAGACCCGACCCGGGTTCATGACTTCATGTCATATAGGGACAAGCTCCTCTCGATAGAGATAATGAATCTAATTGATAAGTGGGAGTGATTCATCAAGTGGACTAACTCCTACACTTGCTAAGAAGGTGGATTTGAGGTTAGCCAACGATTTGATTAATTTAATGGGAAAACTGTCAAATAGGTCATCGAACTTTTATACTCCCTCCACCCCGCTATTAACTTCCTGCTTTCCTTTTTGGGACGTCCCAAAATTATCTTCTCATTTCCCTAAATGGAAAGTTTTCCTACATCAAAACAGTGTCAAACAGTGCAAAACAGTGCCAAACAGTGTCTAAACAGTGTCTAAACAGTAAAGTCAAATTTAATTCCTAAAAATGTGTGAGGGTCAAAGTAAGAACTTAAAAACGGGATGGAGGGAGTAAAAAGGTCAATTAAGTCCTTCTATAGGAGGCTCTGTCCGGCCGTCGCGATTTGGGGAGGTTTCCGGTGGAATTTTTTGATGAATTTTTTTGAGCATCTTATTCATCAAGTCTAGTTTACGCATACCAAATTTCAGCTAAAAATTCAATCGGGAACACATTCAAATTAATTCTTGAAGATAATTGCGCATTTTTGCGTTCTCGAATTAATTTGAATGCGATCCCGATTGAATTTTTAGCTGAAATTTGGTATGAGTAAACTAGATGAATAAGATGCTCAAAAATTTTCATCAAATAATTCCCCTGGAAACCACCACAAATTACGATGGCCGGACAGAGTCTCCTATAGAAGGACTTAATTGAATTTTTTTTTATGAAAGTTCGAGAACCTATTTGACAGTTTTTCCTAATTTAATTAAGTCTCTTCCTTTCAAGAAAAAGAAGGTGGATTTGAGAGAATTTTCTCAAATGATGATCTTCAAAGCCCCCAAGGCTAGTTTGAATGGCTCGTAATCATTATTTTGTCTCGCCTTAAATGATAGTGTGAGAGTTAGCTTCTTGTTGAAAACCTTGTAGTGTTTGACCAATGGTTTCCTTGGGAGTTGTGTTGGGAATATGAGGATACTACATACACAATCAATTCGTTTTGAGCATTCTTGTGTGTGGTGGTGTATAAATGATAGTGAGAACCTAGCGGATTGTTCAAGTGACTCAATTTACATATTTCAAGGAATTGAAGTGAGTTCTTGAAAGCGCAGAATTAGTTCGGTGATGTCGAAATCACGTGGTGCTAACAAAAGAGGGTAATGCCTCTAAAATACTATGAGCCGATATAGCTATTCAACCATGGGTTCATATGACAAAGTTGTACATGGGTTCATATGAGCCGATATAGCTATTCAACCATGGGCGGAGCTAGGGAGAGGTTATGATAGGCCTCGACCAAACCAAATTTTAAAAGATGTTTAAAAATTCGACTAAGCTTTCTTATGTTATTTATTTTAAAAAAATACATTGACCCAACTCAATTTGGGACATCCATTGTATTGAGCTCAACCCGTGAGATGGACACAACTGTCTATGTAGACTCAAAGACTTAGAGCATCTCCAATGGGAGAGTGCATTGCATCTGATGTGGCATAGGAGAGAGATAGAGATAGAATAAATATTGGGATGAAGTGGTGTGTAGGGAAAAATGAAAAAGAGGAGAGAGATAGAGGTAAAAATGGACCAAGGTCTATGACAAGGTCCATATATGGACCTTACACGGGATTCGAGGAAGAAAAGTTGATGAAAAGTGGGTTAAAAGTGATATAAAAAAATGAAAATGAAATAAATTGGGAAATATGTGGGTCCTACATATAAAATTTGTGAGATAAAAAATGGGACCCATGTGTAAGAGTGTGTAAGAGACCACACCCTTGCATTGGAGATGCTCTTACGCCTTATTTTTTCATTATATTTGTGGACTGTTGATATCGATTCTAAAGTTTAAGTATTAAATTACTACGTATATTTTATGTCTATTTTTATACTCCGTAGTAATTTAATGATTGATTGAATTCTTGTTAATGTAGAGAATGGATTTTGAAAAAATTGACAATGATGTCATATAAATCACTGTAGAAGCCTATAAAAAGTCTTACAGAAAAATTATAATGTGTCTTTTTCTAGTTTAGTTTTCATAAGAACTGACATACAACTACTAATGTAGCATACTACTGGCATCATTTGATTTTAGACATTTATATTAGAATTTATTTCATTTTATAATATAACACCTCCTATCAAAATTTCTCTTCTAATCCAATTGGATTAGGTGACTTGATTGACTATAAAAAAATATACGTAATTCTGAGTTTGATTGTATACTTTTAAATTTAGACATTTAAAATCTAAATGTTAGATTTCAAAATCAAATTTGAATATTAATTAACAGAAAATTGAACTATATTATTCGCTCAATAATGAATGAGATTTTGGAATGAATTATTTATCTCATGTTCACAATGAATATAAGTAATGAAAATATAAGTGATAGATAAAGATATAATTACATGCTTACCCCTCATTTTGATAAGTAAGAACATGCTTATAGACTTCATTCCAAAGCAATAAAGATATACTTACATTAGTTTGACATATTTTATGATACATTATACCATAGTATTCTTTTGCATCTAGTTTTTTGGGATAATGAAACGTCATATATGAATTACATTTTCATCATCTAATAAATACTTAGAATGTTTTCTTTTGAACTGTTTTTCAGGCCACACCAGACCAGCCTTTCGTAGTTATAAAATACACAGAGACCAGACGTTTACCAAAACAGACCAGATCAGTTCAGACTAGACAAAACCAGAACAAACCAGACTAACAAATTTTAGTAAAAAAGAAAACATCCTTGCACATGTTTAAGAATGCATCCTTGAATATATCAAACACATGTTTGTCTATCCTTACTATATCGGTATTTCCAAACACATCGCAGTCCCATAATATATCCCATTCGAAAATAAGGAATATATCTGTCGTTAAAAAGAAACAAAATAATGGGGTCAATGTGCAAAAGACAAAATTTATTTCCTTTTTTGATTTCTCACCAACTCTTTTCTCAGATATTGGATGAGTAGAAATACGGAATATACGAACTGAGATCGAAAAAGCTGAACGAGCTTCCAGACGCCACAGAGAGAGGTGACAGCCTTAGTCGTATATAGAGACATTTGTATCATACGGATACGGAGTATATAACATACACTTCGTATGTATCGCTAGTATTCTAGTCCAGTATATAAAGAGGCTCATGGTGGACCCTAAACCTCTATTTGTTTTCAAACCCTCCCGCGAAGCAAACTAATCTTTTGCTTTCTCACTCTGGTCCCGATTCCAGTTCAGGGAAGAGAACAACCGGTTTACGTCTGTGTGAATGCGTGAATCAGAAGATTGATTTGTGATTCAAGTTTGAAGTTCTTGCGCTTCTGTTAGATTCAATTGGATTGATGGAGGAAAAGAATCTACAGGGTTCTGATCGATTTGCCTCCAACTCCTCTCCGAGTTCGTATTCACCCATTCCCATCAATCTTATTCTGTTTTTCCAATTCAATTCTTCTAATCCTTGACTCTTTGTTTGGGAGATTTTATATGAGTTGCGTGTCAAGATTTTATATAAGGGGTATTTTTGCTTTCTATGGTATCACGTTGACCAAAATTGGAAGTTTAGGGTTAGGGAAAATATGGGTTTTAGGGCCTTTATTGCATTTGTAGAGCTGCGGTTCTGATTTTATCACACCTT